CCTACATCCTAATTAAGAATTTCTGATACCAGCTAGTGTCTCTGCTCATCCTCGGGCCTTAGTATAACACTCCCCTGTGTTACTGTTAGGGCAAGGCATTTTCATCGTCTTCTTACTCCCCAATGACGGAGGGAGCTAACGCCAGGTATATATGCCTCAAGCCCCTCCCAGTGAGGTATTGCACCGTGCGTATGTCTGGCGTCCTAACAGTATAGCTGTGGAGGGAAATAAATTCGCTGGTAGCCGCTCCCCCACGGGTTGAGGGGATTTGCATGGCCGGGATTTTACCTCGGGAGAAGAGGACTTCACATAGCTAATGCCGTGGGAATGCAGCTACGCCTTGCGTTGTAAATCGGCCTTTGTCGCCAGAACGAACTTGTTCGCCGTAAGCTCACCACTAAATGCTTGTCGCGAAACATTGAACATGTGACGCATGTCAATCAGCTAGCTATACCCACACATATAATATTATATATATAATTATATAATAATACCCGTGGGCTTTAGCATACACCCGTACCCAGTGTTTTTCCAGGATGTATGCGGACGGGGAAGGCCAATGACCTATCCGTGATGAGTTACAATAGCTAATTCCTAACATCTCTTTCTAGCTTGGCAAGGTTAGTTTCTCTCTATTACTGGATCTGTTTATGAGTGCTATGCAGTTTGTTTACCCAAAAATGTCACTCCAGTAACCACGACTATAAAAGTGAGGAGGAGATGAAGCAGAAGCCATCAAAATCTCTTTCTTCATTTTGTCGACCTCCGACCAACACCTGAAAATGTCAACTACGATGTATATTGCTGCTCTCCAGCTAGTGATGGTGGGAGTACTGTGCGGTGCTCCAGTTTATGAAAATGCTTCAGCAGTTTGCAGCAACACTGACGCCAGGGACCTTGCTGTGTTGGGCTACGAGTACCTTGGATATGCTTATGGAAATGTAGCTCTGTTTGACGAGTACAGCCGTCTCTCTGTGACGCTACAGTACCACAGGGAAAACGATTCCCTGCACACAAACCTCACTCTACAGGTGATGATTGCTGAGAAACTCTTAATGGATGCCTGCGAATACTATGTTGAATCTGATTTGGTGATGAACTCTTTACTCTGGGAAAGTTCTGGTGCAAGTCACTAGCTATAATATACGAAAGGTGAATAGGTACCCGCCCTCACTTATCATATTATTCTCTGTACACTCAGGCTGATGACAACTCAACAGCTATTATGAACTGCAGCAGCATTTGTTCCATCTCACAACACTGCCTCTACTCAAGCATAAACACATGATTGGCAGGTCCCGGCACTGATACAGAAGATGATCCCAGTTGTTGGATGACTCAGTTCTACCAGAGTAGCTCTCCCAGTACCAGTGTCTGTGTCACTCTCCTCGAGACTTTGAGAAGCCAGGCTGTCAACTGTTCCAAGTCTGTCGACAACGTTTACTGTGGACCTTACTTCTATATTATAGTAGCTACACGTTGTACATAACTATATAGCTGTATTTACCCAGCATCAATTTGAACTGTAAAATCGGGTTGTAAACCAGACAAGTACAGTTGCATGTGGTCGATGAAGGAGGTTACCGTTATTGTAATCTCAACCATGCACTGCATGCTCCAACTATAATTATATACACCGTTAGCGATACATGCATCCTTTTCTGATACCAGCTAGTATCTCTGCTCATCCTCGGGCCTTAGTATAAAACTCCCCTGTGTTATATACTGTTAGGGCAAGGCATTTTCATCGTCTTCTTACTTCCCCAATGACGGAGGGATCTATCAGGTATGCCTCCAGCCCCTCCCAGTGAGGATTATAGCCGTATGACTGCGGAGGGAAATAAATGCGGTGGTAGCCGCTCCCCCACGGGTTGAGGGGATTTGCATGGCCGGGATTTTACCTCGGGAGAAGAGGACTACATATAGTTAATGCCGTGGGAATGCAGCTACGCCTTGCGTTGTAAATCGGTCGCCAGAATAAACTTGTTTCGGGGTAAGCTCAACACGAAATGTTTGTCGCTAAACATTCATTGCCCTATAATGAACATGTGACACGTGCCAATTTGCTATGCAGCTACACACCCGTGGGATTTAGCATACGGCCGTACCCAGTAATTCCAGGATGTACGCGGATGGGGAAGGCCTTGCTGCCAATGACCTATCAGTGATGTGTTACAATAGCTAATTCCTAACAGGTTAATTTCTCTCTGTTTATGAGTGCATGCTTTACCTAAAGATGTCACTCCAGTAACCACGACTATAAAAGTGAGTAGGAGATGAAGCAGAAACCAGCAAAATAATTATTATCTTTCTTCATTTGTCGACCTCCGACTGAAAATCTACGATGTATATAAGAAGCATTGCTGCTCTCCAGCTAGTGATGGTGGGAATACTGTGCAGTGCTCCAGTTTATGAAAATACAGCAGTTTGCAGCAACACTGACACCAGGGACCTTGCTGTGTTGGGCTGCGAGTACCTGGGATATGCATATGGAAATGTAGCTGTAAAGGTATAATTATCTCATGCCTAGCAGCACTTAGTGTACTGTATACTGCAGGAATTGAACCAGATTAATGAGCCTCTGTGTGCTCTGTTTGACGAGTACAGCCGTCTCTCTGTGACACTACAGTACCACAGGGAAAACGATTCCCTGCACACAAACCTCACCCTACTTGTGATGATTGCTGAGAAACTCTTAATGGATGCCTGCGAATACTATGTTGAATCTGATTTGGTGATGAACTCTTTACTCTGGGAAAGTTCTGGTGTAAGTCACTAGCTATAATATGCACAAGAAGAAAGGTGAATAGGTACCCGCCCTCACTTATCATATTATTCTCTGTACACTCAGGCTGATGACAACTCAACAGCTATTACGAACTGCAGCAGCATTGGTTCCATCTCACAACACTGCCTCTACTCCAGCATAAACACTTCATTGGCAGGTCCCGGCACTGATACAGAAGATGATCCCAGTTGTTGGATGACTCAGTTCTACCAGAGTAGCTCTCCCAGTACCAGTGTCTGGGTCACTCTCTTCGAGACTTTGAGAAGCCAGGCTGTCAACTGTTCCAACAGGACACCGTTAATTGTTTACTGTGAATAAAGCATCTCACAGCATAATAGAAGTACTAATCAAGAGTGCCTTTTGCAAAATGCTGAGATTATTTTGTGTTGAGATTATAATTATTATTATTATCATCATCAATAATTAATCTCGTATCTGTGAGATGGAGTGATATGCATGAACACCGCACAATTCAGTTCTTCAGCTGTAGAGTAATTACTCTTGTGAGCTCTCAAAATGGAGAGATTCTTGCTCAGTTTTCTAAATTAGCGAACAGTCGTAGTCGGAACTCCGTCTTCAGTTAACTTGACAGCAGAAACCACTGCTCTAGGTTAAGGCCGGACAACTTACCTGTTGCAGATCCCCTTCCGAAGGAATACCAGGTGTGTGACAGCATAGCCAACCCTTTCTGTTACTTGTTCTATGCATAGATAATGAAAAGTACTGAAGTGCAAACCCTCGGCGAACTGCGCATGCGCCGTAAGGTAACTTCGGACACTTGGTTATATACGGACACAGAAACAAGATAAAGATTCGCATAATATTTCACTTGATTACTATCTACCAAAGCGCTAACAACTCTTCCTGGCGTTTTTGCGCAGCGACTAATTTCGAGGCTGGTCCATGTCCGGACCTCCGCGTCCGGAGTTACCCGTTGGTGTCGCTTTTTGACCGATGGCTGGTAGAATATCCTAGGAAACTTTATCCGGAGGGGATACAATATCCTATCCGGCCGGATAAAAATTCGGGGGGATGAAATGTACCGCTATACTTGTTTGTTGCGCGTGGTGGCAGAAGACGTGGCAACAGACTGACACAGACCACGTACTGTAACCCTCGCTGCGCACGCGCGCCGAGGGTTAATAAGGTTTGTGTCTATTGGTCGGTAATCAGGGTTGTTGTATATACTATAATGTAGGGAAACCAAATAGAGTTCACTACTAGTTTTAACTGTCTCCAAACACTTAGCACCAAGCAAAAGCGTGCTTATCTTGAATTAATGTGCATTGCAGATGAGCTACACGAGGTCCGCTCACAACCAAGCTTATCAACTGGTACTGTGGAGGTTCAACCATCGCGGGACTATATACCAGTCTGATGGTGACAAAGTTGAGACACCGACTGTGCATGCATGCACACTGGGAGAGAGGTGGCCATGCATCCTTACTGTTTCAGGTGAACCAACCTCAACTGATCCATCACTGTGTATATATAAAGTCGATATAGCTATAATATACACACAAACACAACTGCCATTTGTTGGACCTTATATATAGCTACATGGAAATTATAGACACCGACCCAAGTTTCATGTTCTAGGCTTTTTACACAGTTATTGAGTTGAGGTTGGTTCAGGTAGCTATAGCAGCTATAGTAGAGTATATATCAGACCCAATATTCACTATACATGGGCTCTATGAGGTGGCAGCTATATAAACTGCTACATTCTGTCCCTTTGAGTCACCACGGGGACCGTATCACACATTTGGATCAATTATCTGGACTGAAATCTTTCTTATGGGGAGACATTAAATAGTGTCAAATTTACGCACACCTTATCGTTAAAACCTACGGGTCACATGTGTGTACACCCTTTTTGGGTAGCTACCTATAGTTTACAGTTTGGCCACAGTGTTTTCAATTTTGGCATCCACACTTCTTCTTTTGGGTAATTTAGGCACACACACTCTTTTTTTTGGGTACCTAGTTTTCAATTCGGATATAGCTATACAAGTAACTTTTTTTGGACACCTAGTTTTTATTTCGGCACCTAGGGTCACTCTTGTGATTTGGAAACCCAATATAATTATTAGTCTCTTCCCCCAAGCCCGGCCCTCTAACAAGGTATATACCTACCACACTAAATTTTATCTGCTTTACTATAACTTTGCTGTGTAGAAATTTGAAACGATAAAGATTGAATGACAGCACAGCACAACATAATACCATGTGTTCATTTTTGCAAGTGGATTACGTGTATTTCTAATGTTATATTGAGCAAGCATTGTGTCTTGAGTCAACTTGTGAGGATGGGTGGGCAGACAGACCTGTCGGGACATTGGCAAAGAACAAAAGCTTCCTGCTATAGTTGAGAACCCACTAAGTCCACGAGCTAGCAGTTGGCTGTGGGCCCCTAGCCCTGGAAACTTGTTTCAGTGCCATGTGCTCCAGAGTGAGATTTGAGCAGCCTCACAGGACCACCATAGGTCTCTATTGCCATCTGTCCATTGCCACTTGTCCTTACATATCTTGCGCTGATTAAAGTTCCTCTTTTCTTCTCTTGTGCTGCCAACAAACCCTGTCTTCAGATGTAGGGCAGCGTACGGCCCAGGAACTTACACCAAGTCTTCTCTTGACATTGCCCATGGAAATCAATGAAGAACCAAGAGCCATCAGCATCAGTAATCTCATGACATTCATTACCTGCCTATAATTATATATCCAGCTCTTTCTCTAGAGGAGTCAGACTTTGAATAGCCAGGAAGGGTAGTCGGTAAGATCGCGAGAACCCCTGCTTGATCGCAGGCGCGCGCGCCCCGGCCTTGCGCGGAACCAGCCCCACCCTTTTCCCGCCTTCCACCACACACAAGGCTTGATTTCAAAACTCTAAAATGACAGTTAAACAATCATCAGGAGTCTTCCAGTTGTGGCTGTGAGTGGAGATGAAGGAACCCGTCAGTACTCAGTTCAACATCCCACTTGGTGTAGACCACTGAGCTGCCACTGTCCGTCCCGTCACCCTGAATGATTATCTGTCTATCACCTTCCTGAGAGTCACCCAGTCTGACCTTCCTCCTGTACCTGCAAAAGGCAGCAGCTATAATCTCATTTCCATACTGTAACCTATAATAATGTGAAGGGAGCCTGGGCATATTATAGCTATTTTACGCAGACCAGGAGGTCACTCATTCCCCAGCCTACACAATATCATACCAAGGGATTCCCTTAATAATGCTCAACGTTATCCATTTGTGACAATCCCAAGCTGTTCGTTACACTCTTGGGAGCGAGATAGTCTTGCCAAATCATGCCAGTAAATCCACTTATTGTGTAGAAAAGACACTTGTAACAACACCAGGTGCTGTCGTGTTTACATACTGATTATCATACCTGACGTATAAAAAGAGTTTAAGCCCGAGCACCATACAGAGTATGGCCAGAGGGAGGTAATAGAAGGGCATTAGTATCCAGGAGACTGTTGCTACACCGCTGACACTGTGAGTGCAGCTTGAAGTGGCATTACTGGACTGAACCTCCGGAGGGGCAGGGAATGTGAGGTAGTCCTCGCGGAAGAAGGCAGTTGTATTGAGGATTAGCAGAAGCAGGAAGTTGACGTTGATGGCAGACTCAATCAGGTTTGTAAATTTCAGTCGGTATGGCTGAACATAGATGTAGAGAGTTGCGAAGAGAGCCAAGAGCAGGACTGGGACCACCTACAGCGATGAATGGCGTGAATTACTCACCGGCCAGGTTTCCACAATTCTAGAGTATTTGCTGCATAGTTTTGTGAGTGGGTATAAGAACCAGCAGAGAATACAGAATACTACAGATCAGATAATATGTAACATGCCCACTTTAATTTTGTATTCCTAGATGGGATTGCTCACATTTTGCCACTCCTGGGCCAATATATATAATTATAGCTATTGTACTGGTGCTCACCTGATTCCCAGGCAGTACCACGACCAGGAGGAGGAAGAGGAATCTCCTGGCCAGGTCTACAGCTGACCACCACCTACACCTCTCACTATAGTGCTCCATCAGGGCCTCTCGCAGCGGTCTCACACTCTTTGGAAACTGCACCGAAATATTATAGTAAAAAACCCATATTATATATACCAAGTCATAAGAACTGTATAGAGGCATGTGTGGCAAGAGAATTGCAGGCATGTCGGATTTAGCTACCATGCCAGTTACCAAGTCAGAAGAATGTCACCAGTGGTGGTCATGCAAGCTAAGATCAACACAACAGTTACAGAAGTCACCTTGTTTGAGTGACCCAAGGACAGAATGAAACAGACAGGTATGAGTCCTCCTGCCGCCACCACTACAACCATAGACACCAGAGCCAACAGAATGTGACTGCCGGCAAAACACTCCTGGTTACCATTCACAAACCAGCGCTGTCAAAACGTTTGCCAATCAAATTATTGATAACTATACTCTTAAACATACTCACAGCTGAAGAGTCTCCTTGAGTGTTAGTGATATTGTGGCAATGTAGGACAGTGAGAGCTGTGTGCACAATGTTTGTGTACATGAGCAGCACCACTGACCACACACCATGGCTGCTGGGTGGCCTACGCTTGGAAACCACACGAGTCGACCTAATGAATCATGGGGTAGCAAAATGCATTGATTAAACAACAGCATGAACTTGCCATGGAGTGAGGGGTAAGCAGAAACACTAATTCGGAACCCAGAAGGCAGTAAGTGTAACAATCGAATAGAAGTATATACGAGTGATTACGGCTTTGTGTAAGGGAGGCATGCATTGCTTGGTTCAGGGGAGCTACCTAACCCCCTCCCCCTATATACATTGAAATTCCCTTGCCTACCTACCTACCTACAGATGAGAACAGGTACACAAGTAACGATGGCCAGTAGCAGAGGAAGATAGCGGAGGAAGTAGGCCATTTCTGGGCTGAGACCACCGTAGAGACAAAAGTCATAGACAAAGTAGAAACTTGATGCACTGGCTACATAGTAGAGCTGGGTTAAAGGAAAGAGTTTAAGTGGCATAGAGAGGAAGTATCATCCTCACTTACATATTTTCCGACTTGTATAAAACTAGGCGGAAAATACAATCCCACTATGGGTGCAAGCTGTGTAGAGAAAAGCAGAGATGGATGAAATACACCTATGTGGGTTAGAATGAGTAGAATACCTGAATGTAGATAATGAAGGGAATTATCCAGGAGGGAAGTGGAAGATTGAGGACTGTGATAGCCAGCAGCACAGCAACGTCGGCCAGAACTACGGTTGCAATGCCGCATCACAGAGAGTGGAACTGAAAGATCAACATACCCAGAGCAAGTATGAGAAGTGCTGAAATGTTGGAGCACGAAACACACTCATTCAATAGGGCACTAACCCCCTCTCCTTTAGAGCTGCACTCTCCACACAAAATACCTGCACCGACACACATTAACACAATTAAATCCTTCTTCTGCAAAAGGTAGTGTATAGCTATAGGCCAATGCTCCTTGCTATTTTTGCCATCATGTTAAACAATAGACTATGCACATGCTAAAATCTTCTGAGAGTCAATACCTGTCCTGCCACAGCTACACTGGAGATCAGGATCACTGTGGACGTAGGAGTAGATACAGGTGTCATTACTGATCTCAGGATCACGCCTGCAGCTGCAGTAGCCAGCAGGGCATGTGTAGAACTCCATGTTAGGCCCTTTATTTGTAGGAACATAGACACCCCATTTACCTGGCTGCATAATAGGACATTCATAAGATGTCACAAGTTAGGACATTGTACAGCTCACCTTAATTACCACAGTCTCCTGGTCCTCTTTACACAGTAAAACCTCGGGAATGTCCTCATCACATCCACATGTGGAGGACTTTGTGCTGTCAGTGAGTAGTGTGTAGCCAGCAGGACAAAGGACGCCCTCCAAAACAAACTTGGCTGACCCTACTTCCTATAGATTAACGGACTCATTAAGCATGTTGTGTAGGAGTAGCAAAACTTAGCCACCCGAGGACTGTGTACTGAAGAACCCCATAAACAGACAAGAATTAGCTAATAAGGGTTGTAATATTATGTATTGGGATTCCACAGTGACACCTCTGAATAAGGGACACCTTGGAGACATTGAAAGTGTCCTTTATTCCTTTATTTGGAGGTAGTATAGTATACTAATGTATTGTATTGTGCAGAAGCATAGTGTCCCTTATAGAGATTCCCTTTTTCGGAGGTTACGCTGTATACACTGACCAACGTACAATGGTAGTGGTATCTAGCGATTGAAGTATCACATGTCCAAGTGGCCCAGCTATAGTTTTTGACGAGATGTTCTCGATTTCATGGTAGACGGTGAAGTGCTTAGTCAGTAGTCCAGAAGTGGGGTCTGGTCCGATTATGATCACCTCAGGAGTAAACCTGATGCCTATACCCTGTATGAAGGTGTAAGTTTACATTAATTATGAGAAAACACACGAGAAAAGTTTACAATACAAAGAATTAGAACACAAAAGGTTTATAAAAACTAAGACATGCCATTAAAATGATTTCCTCTTTTGAAAGACACAGTACAGTTACTTTCAGTGCATAGCACTGCATTAACACACTTAGATAACGTAACATAACGAAAGTTTATTTTCAACTTTCGTACCTGGGTGGCATTGTTAGGCCTGAAGTGGAGTCTTGCCAGTGCAGTAGTGGAGGTATTGTACTGGTCGATCCCTGCCATCACTATTGTGTATCTGAGACCAGGCCAAGCCCTCACCTAATGGACAATATTTTGTTGGTGAGTGGGATTTGGATTATGCACCTCTTTCTACACCTCTCCTTCTCCCTCTCTTTCTCTCTTTCTCTGTCCCAGGGTCAGGCAAAGTTATGCATTCAAGGAAGACTGTTAGATTGTTTGCTTTCGTGTTTGCGACAATAGCAGAAGTGCGGGTGCAAGAAAAACTATCCCTTTAACTGCTTGTGCAAAATAGGAAATATGAGCCAGATTTTTTTCAGCTCTTGCTCCCACACACCAAGCATTCAATTACTGGTATTTATTGGATAGACTGGGGTAGGTAGGGTGTGTGCATGTGTGAGGCTCTAACAGTTGTGTTTCCAGTGATGAGCGTCTTCACAGAAGTCTGCACAGCCAGGCGAGGGGAGGTGGGATCAGAATAACCAGTATTGACATTGGAGTCTCTGCAAACAATACAAATCAACAGTTTAGTGATAGTTTGTGTCTTCTTCACTACTCACCCTAGCTCCCATATTGGCCAGCTGATGATGTCATCCCTGTTTTTCAAAAACTTGAAGGTATAGTGGAAGGAAGATGAGCAGGCCTCCCAGTCGAGGCGGGACAGGTACAAATTGGAGGCCAGAATTGCCCTGTTCTCTGAGAATCTCACTGTGATCTGTTGTCGACAACAACACTAGTCACCTAACTTTGCTGTTGCTGTATGTATAACATACACATTTTGAGAGAAGAGGGGATGGGATGGAGAGAAAATTCTCATGCACTAGATAGACCAAAAATGGAGCCAAATTATGACTCCCAAGGCAATATCATTTTACCTAATCTGTACTCAACAAGGATTAAGTTGAATGTTAGGTTACAAACAACAGCCTATTGTAATCTGTACGTATGAAAAGGAACTATGAGTACACAGGAGTGAACCATTCACTCACATCTTCCCATTCTTCTGGAGCCTTGTACTCCTCGTGCCTCAGGAAGCAGGCTGAAGGATAGCTGCCCCCCACCGCCGAGTCATACTGGTTCTCCACATATATCCCTGCTCCAAACCTGTCAGAACCATATCCAATATGTAGTATACAGTCTCCCTCATTGAGAGAAGATCTCTACCTTCCTGAGTTTCCTATAAAGCTAATGATAAGTCCAGTGCCCAGCACTGCCTGGGAGAATGAGAGCAGTTGAAATGCCGAGTCATCTTCACCACTGTTGTTTAAAAAAGTCATTTGACCAGACAGGTGCACAACTGAGCCAATCACCTATAGGGGAAACCAAGTAAGTCCGGTACTAATCTGTCTTAAATGCCCAACATTTTCTACTCATAACAATTATGCACCACCTACAAAGAGAGTCAGTTCATATGCAACCCAGATGAGAGAAAAACTATTGCAAGAGCAAATTTGATCATCTTTCTTCGACATGCAGCCCAAAGAAATCATATAGTTATTCATAATAATAATATACCTGGAGAGCATTTCCGTAGTTTTCAGTGAGATTGTTTGAACCTCTGAAGTAGGCAGAGACAAACCAAACACTTACTACACCGCTGACTCCAGAGTTCCTCACAAACATACTGAGAAGGAAACAACAACATCTATCTCCCTGCACACTAGAAATTTTCACCAACACTTAGATATAGCTATTGACAACAGTATAACGTGAGTCCCCATGTCACAATTGGGAACGGAAGGGAAAAACTACAAAACCTTAACAGATTCCCGTCATTAATAACTGGCCCACCTGCATAAAAGACTAACAGACTGGCAAAGCTATAACAGTGGTAATGTACACTATTACAATGTATGCCTGCCAGGCTCACCAGTCGCTGACTTGATGGTTTGCAAGAGATGAATTGTCGAGAGAGAAAGCAAATGACTTCAACACCAGTGCCCCACCATAGGTTGCATTATTGCCGGTAAAGTTGGAGCTCTGAATATCAACACTATTTCCGACTGCACCTGAGCAAAAGACCGGTGCTAGCTATATGTATATAGGTACTCGATAACATTACTCACCACGTCTTATTGAGCTAATGTACATTCCGCCACCGTTGAAGGGTGCAGTATTATTGGTGAAGCTACAGTTAACAAACGTCACCAGATGTGGACTGTTTCTTGGTCCTGCAGTGGGGAATGTCACTTGCAGTCCTCCGCCACTAGTGCCAGCTTCATTGGACACAAACCGGGAATCCAGGACCTGCACATTGTGACTACTAGTTCTGCCTCCTGGTAGTATATACACTGCCCCTCCAAATGATCGAGCAGAGTTAGCTTCAAAGAGACAGTTAGAGAGAACCACGCTGATGTTGGTACGGGACTCATTTGCAAAAACACCCACTGCTCCTCCCCTACCGGTGTAGACCCTGCGGGAAAAGGCCTCGGTACTGGTAAGAAAACCCGTGGCACTGTTGTTTCTGAAAACTGAGTCTGAGATGCTGAGATATAGAGCGTTGAATCTCTGCGGGACATTGTTGTAGCCAAACGAGGCCCCTCCAGTGTTGCCCCTGTAACTAACGTCTGATATCCCAGAGCCCCGATTGTGTTCTATTGTCACACTGCTGAGTCTTACGTTGTGGCAGTTGAACATATCCAACACTGCTTCCGTAAAGTACCTGGACCAGAAAGTTATTCACTTTCAGTGCATGGTGGGTTATAGTAAATATGTGCGTGGGCTGAAACTTGTGGACAAACAAGGGCTCAGCGATGTGTAAAGTTTACACTAGCTGAATCCCGACACAATGGCGGCGGTAGTGTAGCCTAAGCGCCGTAAATCTGACCTGAACGAACAGTTAGTTAATTCCACATCAGCAACTGTATCAATCCTGAGGGGTCTGGGGCACTCGTGAAACTGTATGTTGTTAATCTTCACTGACGTCACCTCGCCGAAGTACCATGTGTAATTAGACTCCACGTCGTAGTGACACATAACAGAAGCGTTTCCTTTCCCGGACGGACCGCGGATCTCTACGGCTCCCACCTCAGCAGTAAACAGTGTTTGAGACGATAGGATGTGTTCTCCGGGAGGTACCTCGATACTGGTGCAGTTGATAACTGTTCCGTTCCCGTCGTCCGTCGTCAGTAGTCGCTCTATGGCCTGTTGCAGATTCAGAGAATCGGTAACGGTGATTGTACGGCATGATGCGCTGTATTTCGCCCATGTGAGATGAAACATAAGCAAAAGACAGGCATAGCCAGACTTGACTTTCTCTGGCTGCATGTCTGCTAGCTACGTACATATCACTACGGCACTAGACCCCCAACGAATTGAGCGCATGCGCAGGTAACCCATGAGGTCAGCATTCCTATGCAAACAGAAAGCACACGTGAATTTTCAAAAAGGAAGTTCTGTACGCATACTACAGCATTATATCTAGTAAATCGAGTCCAATGCACACTTCATGTAGTGCTTAGAGCCATTCTTGTATGGTGGCAGTAATAATGGCTCTGGCCTTCACGAGGCCAGGGAGGTCTTTGGGGGACGGAGGGTACATGTTGGCACAGTGTGCAGTCCCGTTAATGAAAACTGCCACCAGGGAACCGGTCGACTCCAGAACACCCAGTGCATGCCATGGATCAATGGAACCGTTTGGGAAAACTATGTTTGTCGCGTTTCTGGGTATGTTGACTCTCCCTCCGTAGTGTTTGTTGGTGGCAATAACTGCACTGTTTACACTGTCGGGAGAGAGACCGTACACTTCTGAGCAAGTTTTGAGCTGGGAGGCAAGTGTTATCAAGTCGCCGAATGGCTGTTTGGCAGAGTCTGTGGTCTGGTAGTAACCAAACTCTGTGCAGGTCTGGTAGATCCACTGCCTCATGCCTTCATCCACCGCCGAAGAGTTCCAAGATGTCCCTCGCATTTCCTCCACCTGCGCGGAGAAATTTGCATCGATGGGCAAATCAAAGTTGAAGTCGTCATTCACAGCCGCATAGCGCTCCAGTGGAGACCCGAGACTAGCGTTCACCATTACATCACACAGGTCGTCGATGGTGAACGGGAAGATATTGTCCCTGTTGTACTGAACACACTCTGCAAAATTTCCAACCAGAGTGTCCGCAACTAGAGCCACGTCGTCCTGATTCTGAATAGAAGAAGACACGTTAAACATCTTCTCCACCATCGGCCACAGGGCCTTGTCCGCCAACATAGTCCCCAGGATTAGCGTGGCATTCTGCAGTGCATCGACACACTGTTGTCCGTTCTTGGTAGTTGCCAGTGACGCTCCGGCCACCTCAAGGTATTGGTAGAAGTTGAGTTCGGCCTGGACGGGCCCACTGGTGGCGACTGCGCCAGCTACGGTCTCAGGGTAGAACATGCGCAGCCAACCAGACAGAGCTCCAGAGTAAGACCCTCCAAACGAAACCCATTTGTTGGCATCCGTCATGTTGTGCAGAGTCACCATGTACTCCTTGAAATAGACGGCGTCCCGCAGAGCTTGTCAGCTGGAGAGATAGACCAGGTTCTCGAGGGATGTGTCAGGTGTCGGGTGGCTCTCTCCATAGAACCTGTGCTCCAGGAGGATGACGAAGGCTCCGAACTTGGCCGCATTGATCATGATCTCGGTGTCGGTACTGAGCCATTCGGGATCCGCCGGTCCCTCCCCGCCAAGCATGAGGAAGACAGGCCCCGATTTCCGCTCCCACAGAGTGTCGTTGACGAAGTAGCGCTGGGACCAGGTCCGGTGGTCGCTGTCAGAGAAGTGGTCCAGTTTCTGCTCCTTGAACCACATATCTTCAGCCGGCCTCACTCCGGGACGGACAGGAGGGGGGCGGAGGCCCAGCTGCCTCCGTCGTGGCCAGCCATAGGCCGGACATAGCAGGGAGAAAGACAGGACCAAGACACAACTCACAGAGGAGAGAGGCATGGCTCGTTCTGAACATGCGCATGCGCAAGTGTGGGGTCATCACCTATTATTACCTTCGATCGCACGCGTTGATGGGGCTATGAATATAATTATTGTGGGCCATCCTTATGTGATGTTTTTCCATCTCATTTCAACACACACCAGTGGAGAATGAAATGATTCTCCGCTGGTATATAGCTATATTATGTTCCACTGGTGTGCTATATAATATTATGGCTAAGTGCTAAATTGACATCACTACTCTGCACTACAGTCAGTTCTTATCTTCACTATCTAACTAAAAACCTAGCTAGGACTGTTTTCACTAACTACTAACAATGGCTAGCAATGCAGGTTTGTAGCAATCTCCAATTCAGTCTGGAAGCACTGAGAGCTGAGAACTCTCAACAGCAGTCATTCTAGCACCATAATAGTCCGGAGGATAATAAGTGGGGTCTTCCTCATTTTGTTCAGAAACAACACTGCTGCATACGAAGCTGCGGTCACATGAGGAGAAAAGGGATCTCCATGAGCTATATCCCAGGCTCCATGACTTCGATAGTTTATCCCATCTTTTTCGGTCACCCCATGAGAAGCCGCATGGCTGTAAGACATGATAAGAGTCAAATAATGTGAGCTAGCCTAGTTACACTTACAAGTGGTGGTAGCCACCTCTTCTTTTTGCACCAATTGAGACGCCTAGTCTGGTACCAGACGTATAAATTGATTCTATTATTAGACCACCCATGGTAGACACCGGCACAGTTCTTCACTCTGATTCGATAGTTGGTGAAGCAAACTTGTGTTGACAATCCTGGACCAATTTTATAGTTGAACTCTGCACTAACAGATATCCCACCTCGAGCAACAAACTGCAGAGGGGAAATGGTGTGTGCGAGTGTGTAGATAGGCATTGTGTGACACTATCAATTTAAAGGGAGGGTATATATCTCTCAGAAATAAAAACATTCGATGTGCCAATATTAAAAGGGTAGTGGTTAAAGGCATCTATTTGTTCTCTTGGTTGGCTATCCCTCTCATCCTACACTTGCATGTTGGCAACTATAAAGTGAAATTGCTTACCAAGAGGTTGACAGTTGCTCCAGCTGCGAGCTCCAGAGAGACTCCTGCCGTTAGCCGAGCTTCTGCGGTTAGACTTCCTCTTTTTTCACAGAACTTGAGGTACAAATGGCTGTTGAGTTTTGTGTAGGCTGTCAGATGAAATCTGAGGATTCCCACATAAATGAATACCGGTATACTAAAACTAAACAGTGTGTACTTTCCTGAACTGAATAGTGGCCTGTTGTGTGTCTTGCATACAGTACTTTTGGATCTATCATTATAGGTAACCAAAGTCTTTCCTGCGATCTCGGCATGGAGACTAGTCAGAGTGTAAGAACTGGTCTTTTCACGATGGATAAGAAAGTCAAGGGCAGTCTTCGTTTTACCAAATGCATGGCCTTCTGCTTTTGCTCGAGCATACACTTTGTAGCCTCCATTTCTGGCTACACCAATAAAGCCACCTGCAGCTATCTGAGCATATGCCTTTTCGACTCCGAACTTTTGCCCCAAATGAAACTTTTGCGGTAGCCGTACACCCTCAAATCTTTTTGACGCGTGTACAGAGAAGAGACCATGTTGTAAACGGCATTGTTTTCGGCCCAGTAGGTTCCCCTTCCGGTCCTTGTTTTGTTGGTGGAGCCATCTGTGTTGGCTGATGGAGTGGAGGTCACGACACTTAGAACGTGTGCAGAGTCTTCATTGTCAACGAGCTGGAGATATTTGATAAGCATTTGCTGGAGCTCGGTGCTTTCAGAATTCGCCACTGACGAGAGGAGGGCAAGGGCCAGTTCAAGATCAAATGGCTTATCGGTATGGGTGTTGGCAGCGTGCTCAAGGCCAAAG